TCACTGTTGCTGTCCATCCTTTTAACAAACTCGCACTTGTACCTAAAATCATCCCCTTGTATCCGATGCAGCTCAGGCGACTTACTGAAACTGATCACTTTTCCTTTCCATGGCTCTTCACTCAATTCAGCCACCAAAATTCCCAATGCAGATGACACATCCTCCTTGAGCCCCCTTATGCGTGTCTTGCCAGGTTCACATACAGCCAAGCAGTTTTTGAATTTGCCTTGCTTTAAGTAGATGTCCTCCACCATCGCCTTCCAATGAAGCTCAGCCGCTTGCCTAAAATTCGAATGATTCCCATACCGTAGGACCTCATGTGGAAGTAAAGCTTGGCTGCAATCTTGGACTTGTCGGCTTTCACCTCCTCCAAATACTTTTCAACATTAAAGGGCATCCTTCCAAATCCCATATGGGTGCGAGTAGAGCGGTTGTACTTGTCTTAGGGCTCCAAAACTCCTTCTGAAGCCGGTCGGTGACTCTTCCCGTGTAATGGTCCTCCTTAACACCTTGGTATTCTGGATAGTTTCCTTCGGGAAAACCTTCCTTGCAGTGTTTTCACGCAGAAAAGTGGTGCGGATTGGGACCGCGCTATTGGGGTGATCGGAACGACAACTGTCTGCAGCATCGCTTACCTTCTCACAGTTACCATCATCTTCGTCATCATCAGTATCATCAAAATAACCACCATGATATTCACGCTTAAGATTTTGCTTCTTCAATTTTTCAAGATCAGACTTCAAGCACTCTGCATACACATCGGTGACCTGGTCATATAACAACTTATAATCCGGGTCACGCTTGTACCTCTCAATAGCTTTCCTGGCCATGGCGAGGCTCTTCTCTCTCCCCCTTCTCCCGTCTCGGTCTTCTAGAAGGCTGTACGGAATCTCCGGAAGTCCATGCAACTTCCCTGTCGACTTGGCAAACGTTGCGTAGCTCAATAGGGTCTTGGGGTGGTTGTGGTGGAGCCAATACACCGCCGTGTAGAACGCTTCCCAGAAGAATCTGCCGTGTAGTAGGTTAGCAATGAGCTTGAGGGTGGTCAAGGGATCATGGGACCAAGCCAGCGGCAGTAGTTGCTTCAGATATGCACACGAGGCGTCCACCTCGGCCTCTGCCTCCGGGTTTTTTCTTTGTTCGGTATTGGTACTTGTATGGTTTGACAACCTTGTAAAAGAGATCATGGCAGGGGTTACCAGCGGAAGGTGCGACGGGTGAATCCTTGTTCGGAATCTGATCACTGGTAGTACTCAAACCCCTCATTTGGATCGAATTTGGGGGTCTCATGTTGATTCTTGTATTCGCTGTGGCTCTAGAAATGGCTCTCTCGTTCTTGAAATTCGGAAACGCTAACGGTGGTTGGAGCGGTGGAGGAGGAGCAAGAGCTGTATAATTTGGAGCCGCCATGGATCTTGTTCTTGTGAGATGTGGAATGTGGTAGACTGACAGGATTTTCTCCATTTGATAACAACGAGTGGGCATGTATTTGGTTTTTAAATAGAAACTAATTAATGACTTGGTCGCCAAGCAATTGCCTGCTCCGTTTATTCCTCATTATCTTTTATTTTTTGAGTGTGTAAAAAGGTAATTATCTCCATAATGTTGAAAATAAAGTAGGGAGTAACAGAGATCAAAAGAGATAAAGAGAATCTGAGAGAGAGATTGAAGGAGAAATTATATAGAAAATGTGTTGGGATTTATATAGAAAATATGTCTCAACTAATTACATATTACAGATTGACTCAAAAATGAACAATCACATACTAAATAATATTTACAGCACTTCCTTTTGGATGTTGACCAATCAATGATAGTTATCTCGATAAAACCTTGTTTGGAAAACCCAGTGGGACAAAACCAAAGTAAAGGAGAAAAATCGAGCAAAATTTAAGACACATTGATAAGTTGTTGAACACGAATAATGTTGTCTCGCTAAAACCTTGCTAGAAAAACCTAATGCAATAAAAATCTGGTCGAAGGAAAAACTACACAACACGCTTATATGTCCATTAAAGCATATTGTTGAAGACTCTCCGTGATGATTAACTTTGCTAGATAAGTGACTGTCCCTTATGATAGTAAGTCTTGAATCGACTGATCGTCACTGTCAAGTTCGAAGTAATGTGACTTCAGCCTTCAAGAAATTGAACTTAAGTAGAACTTGACTATGAAAAGTGGGGAAGTTTATTGAGAGTTGATAATAGCTTGTTTGTATTTCTACAAAGGTTGAAATACCAAAAGAAAAATATACTTCAAAATATACACTCTAAAAAAAAAAATTACTAAAGCTCATGGTGAATATAAGCCATGTATACATATAGCTAGAATGATGTGAACTCCCTCATCTTAATGTAAAAATATCAATGTACTAAAATTGAACTAACAAAATAACTCATTAAGACAATTTATACCAAATTTATTTAGAATACAATGTACTGGTATTGAGTATATATTTTGAGCTTTAAGATCTTTATTTGAAATATTTAATAAAGGACTTCATGGTTTTTTCATACTTTAAGAAATTGCTTAAACTAATTCGGTTTAGTCTAAAGTAAAGATTATTGTTTAAAGTTGTGTTATTAAATGTTATACGCTTAAACATTAAGTCCAAAAAATATATAATTAAGAGAATGTAATTTAAAGAAGTTAGATTCATGATAAACATGCTTCGAGATTTATTTCGCACAACTTCATCAAAGATTAAGAACAAGGGATTGAAGAGAAGGTTTGTTAATTTTTCCGGAGAAGATGAAGATTGCATTGGGTTATCCAAATAAATAATATTTTATTGATTGTGTGTATAATTTTTTTTATATACATGGGAAGTATTTTGGGCGGAAACATTTGCTCACACCATAACAATTGAATTAAAATATAAAATTTTTAACCGAGAAAATTTATGTTTTAACCTAAAAATAGTTTTTCTGCTTCAATTTTTATGGGTTAAATTTTTAGCCCAAGATTATTAAAAAATGAATTTAGGATAATTTTTGGTAAAATAAAAAATTATGTAGACTATCCTAATTTAATTTTATAAACTTTTTAACCGAAAATATTTAGATTCCGATAAATATTGAAAAACCACTAAACGACACCATGATACTCTGAAAAAATATGAAACACATGAATTTGTTTTTTTTAATAATTTTAGCGGTTGGATTTAAATTTGGATTGTTAAATCTTTTTTTTACCATTGAATTTGGTCATATTAGATCTTAGCCGTTAGATTTAATGAATTTATAAATATAAAACTAAGAGAATACATATATATGGTCGGACAGCCCACTAACTCACGAGAGAATTTTGGCCAAAATTTGTCCCAAAAATGAGCTTTGGATTAAGACTCATATTTGACCTAAGAGTTGAAGCAAGTTGGGATAGGTTTAGAACTTAAAATTTTAAGTTTTACTTCAACCTAGGTTGGGTCAGGTCTTAAAATGGTTGAAAAAAAAATTATTCGTTGAATATTTTCATATAAGACTTTCCAAAGTGGCAGATAGACCAATAGGTGCAAAAATTTGACGCCATTCGTCCCTAATAACGCGTAGAGATCTTCTCCGGTTCATTTATATGCGTATCCTGGGGATAAACTAATTATACTCGTCCGAGAAACATTTTACGGCCACAAATTTTCTCTATTTTTCATGCAAAACAAAGACTCACTCCTTCACTCTTTCACATCTTCTGTTATTCTCCCATTCTCGCCGGCGGTGGTTTCCAACGTGAGGATTGCCTCCACCAACCAAGTACGCAGTGGCAAGGATTCGACGACCAAGTTGGGCTCATCATCAACCTCTTCCTCACCAAAAAAACACTACGATGTAGCAGACTTTCTCCTACAATTTCACATCTTCACCACTCACCAGTCACCCACCGCCATGATTGCCGTTATCCTACCCTCACCCTTCCTCTCCCAACGCCTGCACCCTTAGCTTCATGGCCGCACGACTAAATTTAATAGCCAGGATTAATGGGTATCTCAGCTCCCGAGGCAAAGATCTGGAGATGATCTTAGTCTCCTAATAGCAATATAGCAATAGCGACACTACTTTGATGCGAATATATATTTCTACTGCTCCTTAGGGACCTTTTTCAAGATATTTGCCTTTTAAAAATACTTTAAACAACAAGTCGCACCTTCTCCTTTGAGATTTTGAGAGAATTGCATCAAAAGTTTTCATGAAACCTCTACAAATTAATTAAATTAGATCAAAATCTATGGAATTATAAATCTATTAAAATTCCTCAAAATCCAAACTAATTACACCATAACTTGGTTTAGTAAATAGTATTTTCTTCCTATCACCTAAACTCTAATTTATTTGGTGGATTCCTTTGGAATGACGAGTTGTTCTTCTCCCTTTAAGAATTAAGCTCCTCTATACTTCGCCAGCAAAAGGAAGCCGTTAATTTTTTTTCCGAAAAAAAAAAGGAAGCTGTTAATTTTAGTATTTGTTATGCAGGCTAAAATAGGAACAACAACAACATCCAAAGCAGTATTCGACCAAAAAAAATCAAAAGCAGTCAAATTGCATAATTTGATTCACTACTTTTTAAGAGTTGGCTCCCTAATTCTCTATGTGCACGTCTTGGTGTCTTTGGGTTTATGTAGAACCCATTGCACTGTTTGATGAGAAGATGTGACCTATCAGAAATATACAATATTTCAAACCAAAAGCGTTAGTTCTTCACTACTTGGCATCATGTTTGCATGTGGAACAATGCAACTATTCATACAAATCATAATGTGTAATTTCCAACACAAGTCCCTCTTTCTGCCCGACATTCATATAAAATGTAATCTGCCAAAACATAAACACGTATAAGCAATTCGCAAATGATACAACTCGAAAAAATTTCATTCAGCTAAACAAAGAACATGGAATTATAATTTACTGAGGTTAAAGCTGATATGATTCACCATAATTTATTGTCAAAGAAAAAAATACGTAAAATTTAAGCCTCTCTCATACTATCCCACTAAAAATTACAGTAGATCAGTCAATTACAGCCAGCTGCTGGTACTCTTCATCGGATATGGCGGCTTCCATGACCTTGTCCGGGCCAATTTCCCCATCATTTTCCAAGAAAGTTTTGAGCAATTTTTTGGAAAAATCGCACACTGTCGTCACCCCTGGTTGTGTATAAGGGATCAATGGCCTTCCGTCATCATGAAAGAATTTACCTGCCAAGTTCCAGTACACTAATTGTGGCACCACATCTCCATATCCTTTCTCTGTAAACTTCCTTTGTATTGCCTTATAATCCGACTTCGAGCAGCAGTCACCATAGGGATAATCCTCTTTTTTAAAGACTTGGTGACTGAACACAAACACCTTCTTGATCATCTGCTCTGGCTCCAAATTCTCATTCACAGCCACCTCGAGAATCAAATCAAACACCTTCTTGATATCAGTCGAGCTGTTGCTGTCCATCCTTTTAACAAACTCGCACCTGTACCTAAATTCATCCCCTTGTATCCGATGCAGCTCAGGCGACTTACTGAAACTGATCACTTTTCCTTTCCATGGCTCTTCACTCAATTCAGAAACCAAAATTCCCAACGCAGATGACACATCCTCCTGGAGCCCCCTTATCCATGTCTTGCCAGGGTCACATACAGCCAAGCAGTTTTTGAATTTCCCTTGCTTTAAGTAGATGTCCTCCACCATCGCCTTCCACTGAAGCTCAGCTGCTTGCCTTAAATTCGAATGATTCACATAGCGTAGGACCTCATGTGGAAGTAAAGCATTGGCCACAATCTTGGACTTGTCGGCTTTCACCTCCTCCAAATACTTTTCAACATTAAGGGGCATCCTTCCAAATCCCATATGGGTGCTAATAGAGCTGTAGTACTTCTCCAAGGGATTCAAAAACTCCTTCCTAAGCCGGTCGGTGACTCTTCTTGTGTAATCGGCCTCCTTAGCACCTTGGTATACTGGATATGATTCCTGCGGGAAAACCTTCCTTGCAATGTTTTCACACAGAAAAGTGGCGCGGATTGGGACCCAGGTATAGTGGCGGTTGAAAACGCAACTGTATGCAGCATCACTTATCTTCTCACAGTTCTCATCATCATCATCATCATCATCACTATCATCAAAATAATCACCATGATATTCACGCTTAAGATTTTGCTGCTTCAATTTTTCAAGATCAGACTTCAAGGATTCTGCAAAAACATCCGTGACCTCGTCGTATAACAACTTATAATCCGGGTCACGCTTGTACCTCTCAATAGCTTTCTTGGCCATGGCGAGGGTCTTCTTCTCACTCCCCCTTCTCCCGTCTTGGTCTTCTAGAAGACGGTACAGAATCTCCGGAAGTTCAAACAATTCCCCTATCGACTTGGCAAATGTTGCGTAGCACAATAGGGTCTTGGGGTGGTTGTGGTGGAGCCAGTATGCCGCCGTGTAAAACCCTTCCCAATAAAGTCTGCCGTGAATTAGGTGAGCAATGATCTTGAGGGTGGTCAAGGGATCATGGGACCAGGCCAGCGGCAGCAGTTGCTTCAGATATGCACATGAAGCGTCCACCTCGGCCTCTCTCTCTAAGTTTTTCTTGTTCTTGGATTTGTACTCGTATGGTTCGATGACGTTGTAAAAGAGATCATGGCAGGGGTTACCGGCTGAAGGTGCGACGGGTGAATCCTTGTTCGGAATCTGATCACTGGTAGTACTCAAGTTCCTCATTTGGATCGAATTTGGGGGTCTCATGTTGATTCTTGTCATCGCTGTGGCTCTCTCGTTCCCGAAATTCGCAACCGTTAATGGTGGTTGGAGCTGCGAAGGAGGAGCAAGAGTTGTATAACTCGTAGCTGCCATTGCCAAGGCCATGGATCTTGCTCTTGTGAGATGCAGGATGTGGTTGACTGACAGGATTTTCTCCATTTTCCTGATAACAACGAATGGGCATCCTTTTCGTTTTTAATATAGAACTAAATACTTGGACGTCAAGCAATTGCCTGCTCCGTTTAAATTCCTCATTATCTTTTATTTTTTGAATACTATAAAAAAAGATAATTATTTCCGTAATGTTGAAAATAAAGTAGAGAGTAAGAGAAACCAAGATGGAACAGAGAGAAACGAAAGAAAATTTTGAGGAGAAATTAGTGTATATTTCCTTATCAACGGAGAAAGTAGGATTTTCTCCCTTTTTAATCCTCTTTCATCCTCTCACATTATCTTTTTCGTTCATCTCTTTCTATAAAAAGTCAACAAAAAATGTTTCATGATTTAATCGTAACCGTTTAAAATAAGAGGGGAGAGAGTTTAGGAGAGACTCCATCACTAGAGAAGAGATTAGTAACAATGGCGACACAACTTCACCAAAAAACTCCATGGTTTAGCAGATTTTATCCTACAATTTCATCAAAAAACTCCATGTTGTAGCAGAGTTTCTCCTACAATTTCACATCTTCACCACTCACCCGTCATCCACCGCCGTGACTGCTGTCACCCCACCCCCATCCCTTCCTCCTTCCTCTCCGTCGGCTGCACCCTTTCCCCTCTAGCACCTGGTCGCACGATTAATAACAATAGCTACACAACGTTGATGCGAATATACTTCCGCTGCTCCTTGGGGGGCTTTTTTTCAAGATATTTGCTCTTAGATGCAAAATTTTATTGCCCTTAGTACTAGCGTTTCTTGTAGTACTTTTTATATTCTACACATTTTTTGTTGATTTATGTCCTTCAATTCTCTTTAAATCATTTGATCCGACAACTAATAGGTAAAAAAGTGAGTGTATGAGAATATCACCGTCATAGTCGTTAAAGAAAAATGCTAGTAAACCTTTGAACTAACATTTACACTTCAACCTTTTGACTCCTTCACATGACACTTACCATTTTTTTGAAATTATATTTTCTGTTTTTTCATCATCAATATCAGGGCACACAGGAACCTACTCCCCATCGACGGCTCGTGCAATTTAGCTAAAAGGAAAGCCAATGATTCATAAATACCAACACTATGAACAACCCTCTTATCTTTCGCCGTACTACTCGCTATGCGAGCAGGTATCTGGACCTATAAAGTTGAAAGTCATATATGTATCAAAATATAGGTGCAATGCGCAGTGAAGAGGCCGTCTTCCCCATTGCTATGTAGAGGAGTAAAATATGTAGGTGGGTGTTTACTTTTTTGGTAATGCCATCATGACATGACAATACTTTTTCGAAAAAATTAGGGGGTTGTATTGAATAGGAATGTTGAAGGATTTTAATTCATTTAATGAATATAGGGTATTCAATTTTAAGTGATTATTTGAACTTTAATGTGTATTCAATCAAGATTTTAAGATAGTTTATTAAAATCCTTAGAAATCTAGGTGTATTAAATAATAATTTTAAAGAAGTTTATAACATTCCAAGTGTATTCAATTAGAATTAGAATTTAAAGAATTTGGAAAAGTTGAGGAATTAGAGGGAATTGAAGAGATTTTGTAGTGTATTTTAAGCATATACAAATCTCATCTCTCCCCATGAGATTTCGAGAAAATTGAATTAAAATTTTACGTAAAATCTCTACAAATCAGTTAAACTTCATAAAAATTTATGGATTTATAAATCCATTAAAATATTTCAAATTCTTAATTAAATACATCCTCTTAATACGGGCTTGCTTAAAAACAGTGGCGAAGTCAGAAATGATTTTTATTAGCATGAAAAATTTAGAAGTCTGCTATCTACTGTGACATCCCACATCGCCCAGGGGACTGATCCTTATATGTATATCCCATCCCTACCTAGCACGAGGCCTTTTGGGAGCTCACTGGCTTCGGGTTCCGTAGGAACTCCCAGGATGGGTGACCCTCTGGGAAGTTGCTCGTGAGTTCCCAAAAACAAAACCGTGAGGGAATGGTAAGCCCAAAGCGGACAATATCGTGCTACGGTAGTGGAAGCGGGGCCGGGAAGTGATCTGCCTCAGGTCGGGATGTGACATTTGGTATCAGAGCCTATCCCTGGCCGGAAATGTGCCGACGAGGACGTCGGGCCCCTAAGGGGGGTGGATTGTGACATCCCACATCGCTCAGGGGACTGATCCTTATATGTATATCTCATCCCTACCTAGCACGAGGCATTTTGGGAACTCCGAAGTTAAGCGAGTAGCGCACGAGAGCATTCCCAGGATGGGTGACCCATCGGGAAGTTCTCGTGTGAGTTCCCAGAAACAAAACCGTGAGGGCGTGGTAGGGGTCCAAAGCGGACAATATCGTGCTACGGTGGCGGATCCGGCCCGGGTTGTGGTGGGGGCCCGGGCCGGGATGTGACATTTGGTATCAGAGCCTATCCCTGGCCGGAAATGTGCCGACGAGGACGTCGGGCCCCTAAGGGGGATGGATTGTGACATCCCACATCGCCCAGGGGACTGATCCTTATATTTATATCTCATCCCTACCTAGCACGAGGCCTTTTGGGAGCTCACTGGCTTCGGGTTCCGTAGGAACTTCGAAATTAAGCGAGTAGCGCACGAGAGCATTCCCAGGATGGGTGACCCATCGGGAAGTTCTCGTGTGAGTTCCCAGAAACAAAACCGTGAGGGCGTGGTAGGGGCCCAAAGCGGATAATATCGTGCTACGGTGGCTGATCGGGCCTGGGTTGTGGTGGGGGCCCGGGCCGGGATGTGACATCTACACACAAAGCGTCCACCTCGGCCTCTCTCTCTAAGTTTTTCTTGTTTTCGGATTTGCACTCGTATGGTTCGACGACGTTGTAAGAGAGATCATGGCAGGGGTTACCAGCTAAAGGTGCGACGGGTGAATCCTTGTTCGGAATCTGATCACTGGTGGTACTCAAGCCCCTCATTCGGATCGAATTTGGGGGTCTCATGTTGATTCTTGTCATCATTGTGGCTCTCTCGGTCTTGAAATTCGCAACCGTTAACGGTGGTTGGAGATGCGGAGGAGGAGCAAGAGTTGTATAACCGTAGCTGCCATTGTCAATGCCATGGATCTTGCTCTTGTGAGATGCAGGATGTGGTTGACTGACAGGATTTTCTCCATTTTCATTGCCAGGCTTTTTTTCAAGATATTTGCTCTTAGATGCAAATTTTTATTGCCCTTACTACTAGCGTTTCTTGTGGTACTTTTTACATTCATGACATGTCAATACAAAACGGGTTAATACGGGCTCGTTAGAAAGTAGCGGCGGAGCTAGAAATCACTCTCATGAGGGGTTTTTATTGGCATGAAAAATTTGGAAGTCTGCTATTCACACATTTATTTTTACTTCTCACACACTCATAAAATCTCAAACCCAAGGCCTCTGGATGTTTCGAACTACACTTACTAATGCACTACAAGCTATTTATTGAAAACATTAGCAAACAATATATATTATCAAATTTCAGGATTGGTCTAGGCCTTTTTTTGCCTTCATATGGCTCCGCCATTGTTTGAAAGTGTTTTAAAATGATTGAAATTGTTTTTTTTTTTTTTTTTTTTTTGTGAAATTGATTTTGGGTTTCAAAATATTTTAAGTGATTTCTGAAAGAAGCATCAGAAATGTATTTTTTATAGGAAGCACTTAAAGTGCTTTTTTAATATTTACTTGAATTTTTATTAAGGATTGGTTTGAAAACATTTTCACCAAAAACGTTTACAATCATTCTATAATAACTTTCAAACAAGCTTTGTATCTGTTTTTTTTTTTTTTTTTTTTTTTTTTTTTTTTTCTACAAGTACAATAGTACTCTCTATCGGTCATAACTTAGGATCCTTCAACAAGATCTAGTGATTCTCATTTTTTTGTTACTCAAAACAACAAATATCAGAAACTTTTTGGTTGGTTGGAAAATGTAGCGAGAATTTTTTGACAAACAACTAGAGAACGAAAACGAAGTTAGCAAGTTAGTCTTAAGTTGAAACGCCTTCGACTTCGAGGTGGTAACCATGCTTGTGTTAAAACTATGCCAATATGTTTAACTCGAGTAGTAAAGTTGTGACACGACGCAACGTGATCATGTAATCTTGTGTTTAAAATTGATGGGTTAGCATATGATTTGGTGAACTTTATCTAATCAAAAAGTGGATGAGATGAATTATGTGGTATGAAAATGCTTTTAATCCTATATCTAAGTGAAACAAATAAATTTGATATTTTAGATTGGTGATTCTTTGAAATTCAAATTTCAATCATAATTTTAAGATAAATTATTAAATTTTTTTTAAAAAATTTAGGAGTATTCAATTAGAATTTTAAGTTATTTTCTAAAGGTTTCTTTTTTTTTTTTTAATCCAAAATGGTCATTAAGATTTGCATAACTTCTCACTTTGTTATTTGAGATTTAAAATCAATAGAGGTGGTCCCTGAATTTGTCCACTATCAATCATTTTATGAAAAATTCTATTAAATAAGGACCACAAAGATAAAAATACACTCAAACTAATAAAAAAATTGGCCAAAATGATTGACAAAAATTTAGGGTATTTGTGTCATTTTATCTTTTATTTAATGAAGAATTTTGACTGAATGGTTAAAATGTTTTGGACAAACTAAAGGACAGTTCTATCGATTTCTAATCTCATAGACAAAAGTAAAGAGTTATGCCAATTTTAAAGACTATTTTAACTAAAACGTCTTCTCTGAAATGAACGTGTATTTAATTAAAATTTTAAGATAGTTTATTAAAATCCTTATAAATTCGGGTATATTCAATTAGAATTTTAAAGAAATTTATACATTCATATATATTCAACTAGAAATTTACTTTGAAGAATTTTAAAAAGTTGACAAATTTCACGTTTTCCTATAAGATTTCGTTTTGAATCCTGTAAAATTTACTATTTTTGTTCCTCAAATTCAACAGGGGCTATGTTACATAAAGTCTCAAATACTTTTATATTTGTAGTATTAAAAAATCACCTCAATTTACTGTATACTCACAG